GTCCTTGCCTGCTGAAGCAAGAAATACTCATCTAAGTGTCCCTTCCGGGCATTGACAGCAGCACCAAAATTTTGCAGGTGTATCCAGGAAGTTCAATCCACCCACACAGAAGTCCTATATTGTTAAAGCCTGAAAGCTGACAAAGCCAGTTTGGTTCAGCGTGGATGGGTGGAACTGGTAATAAGGCCAGGCTACATACCTGTGCTGAGTTTTCTTATTGCACTTAGGCATTGCAGCTAGGTCACCTTCTTTATCCAACTTCTGATTTGTCAGATGGAGGTTAGGTGGTAAAGTGTTCATTTTAGGGGCTAGGTTAAGTTTTGAGGCTTTCACAAAGGGATGGCTAAGTGTCAGGTTTATTTAGGGTTAGCATAAGGTTAGTAAATAAGGCATATAGGGTCATTTTGTTCTCAGTGCAGAACACACTATCAGCACCAGTGTTCTATGATGTAATTATTCTGAATTACTATTGCACTGTCTGTGATCATAAAAAGATGTGGCCCATTATTAAATCAGCAGAAAAAAATAATTGAACAGCTGCTGTTTTGATCAAAGTCATGTAAATAAAATGCCTATAATTCAAAGCCTATGACTGATCGCTGTTGCAAGCAATATGAATCCAGCTTTGAAAGGTCAGGACATTTTCCTGGCAAATTAAAGGCCATTACAAAAATAAAGAAAATACAAAGTTACAAACATTTCAGTAACACTATGCTAGCAAATGCCTTTGTAAAACACAATGTACTCCAGACATTTCACTTTATTTCCTGGGCAATCTTATAGGATTGCATTCACCTCAAATACCAGTTAAGTTTGCAACTCATACAAGGTAATGGTTTTATGATGATAAAAGAAATATGACTTTAACATCTTACGTTAGCACAAACACGTCACTTTATTAGGTGATAAGGGCTCATTTAGATCACTGTGTGGCCAATTGGATGAATATTTGTGGATCGTTACCAAGCCCACCAAAGTCTATTTAGGCTGTAATGATTTCTGGCATGAAATTCTATTGTAGGGTAATGGTGATAAATGTGCATGCTGGTTGCATTAACAAGTAAATTGATTTTTATACTTCATTTACTCGTGTAAAAATCTACAATGGATAGATAAGTTAGCATGCAACTTCATGGTACCATTTCTATTATCCTACCACATGCTCTGATGGGTACTGAACACACAAATCTCTCAAATGTGGCCACACGCGTTTTAAAACCGCCAAAAAACCTCATATCCTTTAATTCTGAAACCTTATCCTTTCTTGTATAGCAATTCTTGTCCTAAATATCTAATATAACCAGTACATTCATTAAAACTTGCACCGTAAACTATAGTGCAAATTCAAGTTATCTATTTAGAATGAACCCAGCAATAACTGCAACCTCGAATTGGTCAGACCCAGTCTACCATTCAGAGGCTGTTCTGTGCACTCTCCAGTGTCCCTTCTAAAAAGGACAAAATTGTTCAGTAGTTGAACAGTTGTAGGATAATAGAGACATGCACATGTTACAAAACACTGAAGTTATGTAAACCCACTGGTATACGCCCTATGTTAAAATGCTTACAGGACACTTCACAATAACAGGACATTAAAAAGTGGGAAATTTAAAACACACCCTTCTTTACTCAAATCACAACTCAAGTTGTACGCATCTCCATCCATAAATGTTCGCTCTAAAATAAGGATAATTGGAAAGTATGTATCTGCATTGTTCTGTTGCCTCATGTAAATCTTGGCCACTTATGTTAAAGAATACAGACCGTTACTTTGAAACATGCACATTGACAAAGTAAAGTCTTCATTGCTCACCATACAGTTCATGCTTCACTATAGAATTACTGATAGGTTTTCTTTGGTGATAAGAGCATGTTTGATTTAGAGCAGGGGTGCCCACAATTTTTTGTGTTAAGATCTACTTTTGAAATGACGAGCTACATGAGATCTACCAACGAAAAAAAACCCTTGCTCTCTCTCCTGGCTGTCTATCCTTCCAGGCTGTCTCTCCTCACGCTCTCTCCCCGCTCTCTCCCCTGGCTGTCTCCCCTCGCTCTCCTGTCTGTCTCTCCCCGCTCTCTCTCCTGGCTCACCTTGATGTATTTTGCAAACAGTGAAGTGCAACAGGCTGTGTAAACTAATATTCTTTGATGTAATACATAGCACTTCAACCACCAGTATCCACCAGAAAGGTTTCAGGGAGCTTGGCTCTGCAGACTCAGGCTAATAGGTAATCATGTGTGCACAGCTAAATAAATATACCAAAATGGAATAAAGGGGCCACCATTCACACCCTTCGTGATCTACCTACATCAGCTTTGAGAGCTACTGGTAGATCACGATCTACCTAATGGGCACCCCTGATTTAGAGAGTACCAAATGCACACAAAATCAGCTATGGTAAAGTGCTTCAACTGGTAACCTATACTTTGATTATCCAGATATAACAATTATGAAACCACGATGGGATCTTTAAAGGATATACAATGCAAACCTATTGAGAGGCAACTCATGGGAGATTTTGCCTTGCATCTGGTTGCTCTAGCTGCAAGCTTTATTTGACCCTAAGCATGTATAGTGCATGGTGGAAGACTGAAGAAACTCTTTGGAGTGAATTCTCCAAATATTCCAAAGGAGGATCAGGGGACATTACTGTGGTAGAATCTAATTGTTTACTATCTTAACAGCTATACTTTTCTAGGCTCCACATCTTATAAATCATTATTTAGTAGTTAATTTGTATGTGTCCATTAAAAAAAAAAAAAAACGAACAATCTAAGAAAAAATTAAAACAGAACAAGTGGAGTTTGAGTCAACTACTGTTCTGTGTAAAGCAAAAGCAAAATGTAAAATAGATGTTGGAAAATACAGTAACTATAAGTATAAGCCTCGTTTTAAAAACTCTGCTGGAACTGCATGAGCCATTAAAAATTAAACAAGTAAAAAAAATGAAAACATTCTCATTTGGGACAGACAATGCAAGGTATGACTTTAAAAGGAATTTCCTAATGGTAGTAAAAAGAAGAATTAGCTTACCACATTACTGCATGTTCTGTACCGTATGTTCCGACCTTCACAGCTTCTGTAGGAAACAATAAAATCAGCATATGTAAACAGCGATTAGGAAAACTCTGCAAACCGAATAAGAAATCTGATAACCCACTGGTGATTTCACAGCAATGAAAGGATGTTTAAAAAGTGACAGGTTAGTACAAGTTATTTATTATTATTCTTTACAATAACTTAAATATATATTTAAGTATGCATTCATTGGGGTTGATTTACTAAAGGTAATTAGGCTGTTTACTCCGCGAACGAATTTTTACTTGGCAAGGGAAATTTCTCTTAGCTTAGTGAATAAGTGGAAGCTCTGCTGACCTCGATCATCCAATCATGTGCAAGCCAAGAGAGCATTCCCTTGCAAAGTGAACAGCCTATTCGCCTTTAGTAAATCAACTCTATTGACAGCAGAATGAGTGTAGGGGAGAGAAGTACATAAGTAATTGCTTACAATCCAACTCCTGTGGAAATCTGAAGTATGTACCTTTATTCTGATATTAAAGTATTGACTTTTTTATAAATTTGAGACTCCACCCCTCATCCATTACCTCCCCATTTTCCCATTCTGTGCTATAGCTTCTTATGTCTAGTTCAGGACTGTATTTTCACCCTGTCCTTTTCAGTCACAAAAATCAAACAATTTATCTTAATTTTACTTGTATAAAACGTTCTCATAATTCCTTGCAGCTAAATTAGGCATGAGTTTGAGAATGCCTCTGGTTGCAGTCACTCTATGATGTGTCCTGTGTCTGCCTTGGATGTTGGGCATTGGAAAGGGTCCATAGTAATGGAGGTTGTGGGAATCTTACTGTTGGGTTTTACCTCTTCCTTTAGCCCAGAAGTGTGGATCCCCTTCTCCTACCCTCAGGACCACTGTGGAAGAGGTCAAGTTATTTGGAAGGGCACCCCCAAAGCACAAGTACAGTAGGTGCCATCAGACTTACACTGCAGTGCACCACAACACACATGCGTTGCATTGTGGTGTACTGCATTCAAAAGGTACAGATCTAGTTTTTTCCCATTGTCATGCATTGGTAGCCCATTTTTGTCTTTGAAATGGCTGCCTTAATGCAGCAAACATTAACTTGTATGTAGCAGAGCACTGCAATCGAATGGCATAGTGTGAAGGGGGAATTGATATTTTGGTCTCCGGTGCTAGAAATCTGAAGTGTGGAAAATAAGGACTTTGGAGGAGTCTTCCCAAAATGTCCTGCAGTATGTGCTTTCCCTGTGTACTAACATCCAGCTATCCTTAAACATACCAGCAATTATCTCCCAGCACAGAAAGTCTCCCATTGCTAATACATTATTGGCAGCTCTGTTCAGGAAATCATATGACATCTAGGAGCACCAAATAAATTATGAGTGATGGAAGACTTCCTGTGATGGAAACCAATTTCTTGTATCTGCAAAGATTGCTGCGGATTGGAAAAGATTAGCAGCATGGTCACTAAACGCCAGTCACGCTGGTGGTAGTGCAGAGCCTTTGGGATTTGTCAAAATGGTACCAATACCTGTGCATAGGCAGTAGCAGCAGGAAGATAATAGCACTGTGCCTCTACAACTACGCATCAGCGATAGCATCGACTTTTCACTGTAGACCGGCACCATCCATAACAGCCATACATAGCAGGGAGCACTTCCAGAGATACAGTAAACATGATCACCGTATAGCAGTATGGGAGTCACCATAATGATTCATGCATAGTGGTAATGTGAAAATGATCAAACCTCCACATCTGTGTCTAGACTTGCAAAAATTAATTCTGTACTTTGGTGCTTTCATTATTATTCTGGAAGATCACATTACCAATTTTTTGTAGAAAAGACATAGACAAAAACCACTAGATAATAGGTGGAATATGGGCACAAAAAACATCATATGGCAGGACGAATATGGGCATAAAAATAACAACATAGCAGGTGGGAAATTGGTAAAAATAGCATTAGAAACTATTTGGGGGGGAGACATTAAACACTCAATGACAGGTGTACAAACCATTAGATACTAATATATGATAGTATAATTAGCAGGCCAACATGAAATGCACCAAAATGTCTTGTATTATGGCCATGTACAGTCAAATGCGGTATAAATATACATTAATTGTGGGCTCAGTTTTCACTACAATTGTGAATAAATCAACAGATTTGGTTGGTATCACATTAGACTCTACTCCAAAATCAAGCCTGAATTTAGCTAAATGTATTAGCTATAATCTTAAACCCAACAAAAATAGGACTGTTACCCTTAAATCTGGTTTGCTTCCACAATAGAAATTTCTGCTTTACATGTTTCTTTTCGAGGTGGACTCTATTTTAGATTTTGCATTTCTACAAAGTGTATGCAGTTACTGGCTGAATTATTTTATTTTAATGTGTAATATGCTTTAATTTTGTAGATTCTAAAACTTTGTTTACAGTGTAATACAGCATACACACTCATTGCTTTAACATGAGCTATAGCAGTCAGCCTGTAGATTGACAAATACTTTTTTCTATATCAGTTAGCATTTTTATTTCTCTAAAAACGGAGCACTATTGCTAAACACTATTTGATCTTCTAAGAACGCCATTTTGTGAGCATTTTAAGTTGAATTTTGGGCACAGAAAAATTAAGAGCTATGCATAGAGGATGACCTGGCTTACTCTGAATGAAATGTCCCACTGGAGGTGAATTTTGCTGTATGGCAAGAAAATGGGATATTTCATCCCTCATAATTGTATAACCATACATTTGGGGAAGACTTTACCTAAAAAAAAAACCCACTCTGTGACAACGCCAGCAAGCCTAGATAAGCTTGCAAAAGAAAAGGTTGTGGCCAACATATGTGGTACAGAAGGGTACAAAGGTTGGTGTTTAACAGCTTAAAGTTTTTTTGTATCAGTACTGTCAAATCTATATACTAACTGTTGGTGGTTTTCTTAAAAATGGAATGTAAAATGATGTAGTGGAACATTTTAGGTGAAAAGTTGTTTAGTCTGTGTTGCTGCTCAAGAAAAATGAATAACATGCAAGTCACATCATAGTCTGTATTAAACAATACTGACAGACATATTTGAATTATACCTCTGAATTATCTGTCAAGAGCCTATTTTGAAACTGCTACAGGTTTAAGGTTCTTCATGCAGGTTACAGTCTAGACTATGCAATAAGAAGCAGTTATCCAGTTCCTGTTGAGTCTCATTACCAAAAGGTCTTAAATGGAAAATACAGTTACACTAAGTGAGACTAACCCGCTGGAAATGCTTCCAAAGCCTGTCTTTAAAAAAGGCTGCTCGCTGTGCTGATTACAAGAAAATACACATCAAGGTTTGTCTTCTCTCAATGTGGACCTATCATTCACGCTTCACACGAAAGCCACCGATCAGCTTTACCAAATCACAATTTTCGGAGTAAAAAACGTACTGTCTGCTTGAATTAAAATCTGCTGTTACTTAGCACAGCCTAGTCAGCATTGATCACATGGACCACGGCTACCAATTATTACTGCGGAGAGTCTATTGTTTTCAATCAGTGTTGAGATAAGAGACAAGACCAAATAGGCTGCATGCATGTACACAGCTAATTACCAACTGTACAGGAAAACAAGTGTTTAATTAATTAACACAAATTGATAAGATTGTTTACATAAAGTGGTTCTCTTTCACTGGCATCACATCTAAAAAAATAAGCATAGTGACACAGGGACACCTATAAAGTTAGACTTTAGCTAGAATGTTCATCTTTTTACAATATATGTATATATATTGTGTCACATTTCATATATCCCGGATTGCCGGTGGTGTAGTACTATGGTTGTGAGTCACAGCCATTCGCACTTTAGCGTGTTCTGGCATGTTCTAACTTGCACTTGCCTGGGTCTCAGATCAGTCGACTTACAGAGTAGTAGAAAAAATATGTGCGTTGCACTGTTGGCGGAAAATGATTGACAGGAATCTGGAGCAGCGGATTAACATCAAATTTTGTGTGAAAAATGGCTCTGTTACAACAGGCTTATGGTGAATATACCATGAAGAAATCAAGTGTTTTTGAATGGCATAGGCAGTTTAAGAAGGGGCGGGAAGATGTCCATGAGAATGCAAGAAGTGGGCAACCAAAAACGCAACCAACATTATTACTCGGAAATTCTGAAAAGGTTACGGGAATCTGTTCGGAGGAAAAGAGCAGAACTCTGGCCTGTCAAGTGGATTCTCCTCCACAACAATGCTCCTGGCACTTGATGCGTTAAGTGTTCATGATTTTCTGGCCCAGAAATCCATTCCAAAACTTGACCAGCTACCATCTGATTTCCCTGACTTAGCACCCTGTGACTTTTTGCTGTTTCATCAATGAAAAAATGCCTTAAAAGTACACAGATTTGATGAAATTCCAGACATCCTGCGGGGCGCAACAAAGGTACTGTGCAGCGTTCCGGAAAATGAATTCCAGGAATGTTTGCGGCAGTGGCACAGTCACCTAGAAAAGTATGTCGCTTCACAAGGGGACTACTTTGAAGGTGACAACAACCGGTAGTGTATAGGTAAGCAAATTTTTTTTTTTTACAATCAATTCCAGGAAATAAATTGTCACACCTCGTATACTGTATATATCCATAGCGTCCCGACAATATAGTACGATAACTAATTATGATGTCTTGATGTTAAAGGTTACTACCTACAAGGCTGTTAAATTCTCCTTTCTAAATATGAGTTTATCCTAATTAAATAAGGTCACACTTCAAGTATAATATCATGTGGCACACCAGGGATTTATCAGATTTGACTGCAGAGCTAGGAAAAGCAGGTTGTCTGTAGCTGAGGTGTGATATTCAATGGGTTGGGCTCAAGGAGTGATTTATATCAGTACTTTAGAAAATAATATGTATGCCTAAAAGAGCAGAGTAGGCAATTTAAGCTGGTGACCGTTTAAAGCATACCTGACCTGGCCTAAAACTTTTCTTAGGTAGCCCCTATGCTGATATGCAAGCACCTTGCATGTAAGTAGATGTAATAGTCTGCAATCGATCCCTGTGTTCCACT